GTGTTTGTTTTCTGGCGTATCTCATCAGATTTGCGTGTGAATGGGTTCCTCTGCCAGAAAAGGAAAAACCCTACCTAAATTCCAACTTAAATACACCCTTCAAACCCCATGCCCAGGGAAAGAATTGGCACTATTTCCTGCTTTCTGCAAAGACTTAAAAATGAGGCACCAGGTCACACGTTGCCTCTCACAGCAGAACATGTTTGCACAAGACTTTTGAGCCACCGCAACCTGAAAAGTTTCTAAAGAGCAGTCAGAAATGTTATGTCAGCATTTGTTTCTCATTCTGCCGGGTCATCTTCCCCCTCCCTACATTCTGCTTTAGCTTGGGGCTTCCGTGTGCGAGTGTATCCCTGTGCCCTCGCTCCCAAAAGAGGTTTGCTTAAAGGGAATTCCCACTTCACCTCACCCCACCCCCTGGGAGACCATGAGCAGCTGTGGCCCTGTGGAGAAATCTCGTTTATAGGTGCGGACGTGTCCCCAGGACACACAGGCAGCCCCAGGGCTCTGTCTCAGGAAGGAGAGTGTGCAACAAGAACCGGGGATCTCAAGGAAAGCTGGCGTCCTCTGGCTCCTTACTGTTTGGTGGGGCAAACCCCAGCCAGGGTGTGAAAAGTGACACCTCAGGACTTTCTTGCCAGGTACCAGAGAAGATGGGAGGGCCTCCTTACTGGTTACTTATTCGTGACGTGCTGCTCTAATCTTCATTCCTTAGGGAGAAGCCTTGTCACGAAGGGCTGTTTTTTCTCCTTGCAATCCAAGGAAGAAGTTAGTATTAGGACCTGCCTGCTTCCAGAAGCAGTGTGTCTGCAGACCCTGGGTTTGGGGGTTGGGGGGCGGGTTGGGGACTGGAGGTTAAGGCAGATGTAAGTTCTTTGTTTCTTTTACTGAGAACATTGATTCTTTGACTCCAGAATTATACCCCCTACCTTGAAAGAGCACTCGAGGAGGAGCACGGGAATGCAGGGCTGTGCCCCGAGTGTGGTCAGAAATGGCCATGTGGCCATGATGAGTCAGGCAGAACTAGGTAGAACTAGCACCCTGGCCTACCTCCAGGATCTGCAAACCACCAGGCTCTGCTCGTGTGTCTCGTCACTGGCAGCTGGCGTTCCCGAGCTGTCCTGGGTAGTGCCCGTTGGGTGGGGAATGACCAGCCTGACCTGCTTACTGGTGTGGGCCCCTTCTCACAACTGGCATTGTGGCTGCCCAGCTAGGTTTTGTCATTCATCAAAATCAACCCCAGGCCATTTTGCCCTTCCCCAGACATTTGGCCATGCCTGTGACATTCCTGGGTGTCACAATGGGGAAGGATTGCTACTGGCATCGAGTGGGTAGAGGCCAGGGATGCTGCTAAACATCCTACAGTGCACAGCACAGCCCCCACCATGAAGGATGATCTGGTCTAAAATGTCAGTACAGGTATCCCCCACTTTTTCAAAGTCCATTTGACATCATTTTGCTTTTACAAAAGACCTGTTTTTGCTAACCAAAAGAAATCCAAAGAGGATTTACACATCTACGAAAGAAGGTGGAAAGGGAAAATAGCGTTCAGCATTTCTTGGGCAGTGCACATCCTGAGCAGCAGGCGTGGCCTCACCTAGCTTCTTCCCTGGGACCTACACTCAGCATCAGGACTCCATAGCTTTGAACTGCATCTGTGAGCATCTGTGCTTTATCTCAATTGATTTTGTGCATCTGTTATCAAGATGTGTCCTAAGGTATCAGAGAAGCCCAAGAGAGGTTATTTCTTGGCACTAGGAATGCTGGAAAAGTTTTTCATCTAAGTTAATGGCAATTGCTTCTTTGCTTTATGCCATTTTGTCTCACAAAGGGTTTTGTAGAAACACTGTACGTTCAGATAGTGGGGAAAACCTGGAGTGCTACTGTACAGGAACCCAGAAAACAAACTAAATTGCCAGTAAAGTCCCCGAGGGTATCTGGACCTGCCTTCTCATTTAGGTTTTATCCCCACTGTTTGCTCCGCTCCCCCAATGCTAGAACCGGTTGGAGCTGTTCCAGCCATAGTCCACCTTGCCTACAGTGAAGCTTTCCCAATCTCCTCCTCAGCCCATCCCCACTTTGAAATCGACTGTCACCACCACCACCACCACCACCCCCGCCCCGCCCCGCCAATCTTTGTTTGCATCGTTGTCTGTACTTCTGATAGTCTTGAGTTACTTGTTGTTGCATGGCATGGCCCCTCTTGACCGGAAACCCCAGGAGGGCGGGATCTGCAGCGGATTCCGTCTGCGTGCTCCAGGACAGAGGTTGGCAGCCCTTAGGAACCCTCGGAGCTGGTCAGGAAGACACAAGCGAGGGGCCGGTACAATTTGGGTTTGCTGCTCAGAGGCACCTACAGAGCCTACAGCATCAGGGAATCAGACTGTGAACCCTCCCTCTGATCCCCGGATGCGAGCCCCTATTCCAGAACAATGCCGCACCAAGTATGCAGTGTAGCACAAGAGCGCATGCGTCTGTGTGCGTGTGAGTGCACGCATATTTAAAGTTTAGATCTTTTCTTTTTAGAGATCATCTCTTATCCAGTCGTCATAAAAGTGGCACCAGTGGTCATGAAGACACGCCCTCGCCCATGATGGAAAAGAGAAGGAATAGATTGCCTTTAAAGTTCAGCCTGTTTAGAAAAAGCAGAGTAAGCACCTAACACTTTAAAAATATACTTATTTAAGTTAATAGAGGCTGTAGCAAGATATTTTTTGTAAGGTCGTTGTCCACATGAATGTTAAGTAGCGCCTTTTCTATTTGTGTAGCTTGGGGAGGTTCCCTGTTCTCTATATTGGGCTGAAGGAAGAGTGAGTGGTTTGTAAGGCAAACCAAATAATTCAGAATGTAAAAATTCCTACCTGAGCCACACAAGAAAAAGTTCTAAAATGATTGCTAAACGATAAATATTTGTTGTACATCTGAGTTCGTGAACACGGAGTGGTTTGGGGCTTTGGGTCAGGGGCTTTGGGTCAGGGATACAGGTGGTATCCTTCCCTACACTCTTTGCCAGAGTTCATCTCGTTCTTGGAATGATTCGTGGGCAGCTGCGATAAATGGCCCATTCCGAAACTTCTTCAGATCCAAGGATTGGGGACTTGTTTCAGCCAGAGAATCTGCCAGAGAATCTGGACTAATTCTTGCTATTTTTATTGTGGGTAATGTGTGTTTTTAAGCTGGGCAGAAATGCCTTACCCATCACTCACAGAAAAACACCAGAAGGCTCTGTATTCCTAACCACACCCTAGATTTAAAACACAGTAGGGATTTTGTTTTTTTAGGGGCCTTAAACTGTGAAGAACACAAAGTAGAAATACATATGGATAAATAAGTTTGTTTCTCCTTCTGATTATAAAGTTTTTTTATACCCATGCTTTTAAAATTAGACCATGGTTTAAAAAGATGAATAAGCATTCCCTATGGGCAAAGTAAATAATGAAAACATTTCTGCCAAGTTCTCTTGAAGGTTATTATAATCCACTTTAGGTGTGGGGGAGAAACCAGCTGCATTTCTTTCTTTAAGCCACCCACTTCCTCATGAGGGGAGACTCCTCTCCCTAAGAATGGAGACTGCCTTCTCGCCCTCCTCTCAGTGAGTCCAGTTTAGGGTCCTGTGTGGAGAAGGTCCCCAGTGCCTGCTTGTTGCTGGTGACAGATTCATCTGCGGAGATTAGGATTTGACCGACTTCAAGTTTATAAGGGGTTTACCCCTGGGCAGTGTAGTGACCATCCAAACAGACACGGGGCTTTGTTTTGTTAGCAAATGGGCACGGCGTCTTAGACACATGGCCTGGCCCTGCCCACCTTCGCTGTCTTTATGTCTCGGTAGCGGGCTGGGGGAATCCAAGCGGGGTCACGCAGCCGATGTACCTGCCACCACGAGCTTGAGGGGGATGCGGCCGGCTTCTAGTTTCACCCAGAAAGGTGATTCAGGTTTCCTGATTTGTTACAACACACCAGCACAGCTCTCTGGGGAAGTGTCTACCTGTGGGCTGGTGCCCCATCTGGTACCTAGGAGTTAACAGTGTCATTCTTGGGAGGGTTGGGAGAAGTCTGGTTCTTGGCCATGTGGTCTTTTCCCAAGATAGGTGTGATTTATTCATCAGGACTGTCATCCCAAGTGCAAGGGAGAAAAAGGTTTTGTTCCTACCCTACCTATTAAGGCAGCATTTGAGGGACAGACTGACTATCAGAAAGCTCGTCTGGGACAAGTGCCTGCCCTGGAACCTGAGGAAGTGGTCTGGGCCCTCCTCATTTTAACCTCCACTGGCTGGAACCCACCTGGCCGGCAGGTTCCCGAGCTGGTACAGTAGCTCTTGGGTATGATTTCCCATCACCCAAAAAGTGTATGTGGAGCCCCTTGGGACTGGGGATGGGTAAAAGGTGAGGAGAGTGAGGTCATAGTTCCAGCGATGTGGGGGGCCTTCGGCCCCTTCCGTCCTGATTGCTCACTCCTGCAGGCAAGAGCAGGGAACTGCGGGGGCAGCCGGCCTCTCAGTCACCAGCTTGAGCTAGGAAGAAGGGGCAGGGGACAACCAAGAGGAATTAAACTGTTTTCATAATTGTCTCTGGGTGAAAACTAGTCTGGAGGTAACCTGTTCCTTGCCCAGCCGTACACCTAAGCAATTTGAAGTTCTCAAAAATTCTTTAGGTGTCACAGAAAATACGGGGAAGGCCAGGTTCCCTAGGGCTGGCTCAGCAATGCCGTTTGAGATGTTAATAGTAAGGAGCACTTCAGTTCTCACGTTTTCAACGATGTGGGAGTGAGGACGTGGCCCGCCGTCCCTTCCTGGTGGTGGACATTCCCAGTTTTATGTATGGCAAGACTGAGGATGAATACGAACTGAGACTTGTGGTCTTAACTCCTCTCAAGCGAAAGTAGTTAAGAATTCAGTTTAAGCCCCGGAAACCTAAGTGAGTGAGTCGTCTTAGAGGTTTGCACCAGTAGGAGTTTTGAGAAGGCGCGATGGCTCAATGCGTTAATCTTTCTGTCCTTGCAGTATGCCACCACGGGCTGTTCCCTGACCCTGCACCACACGGAGAAGCCAGAACACGAAGACATCTGTGAATACCGTCCCTACTCCTGCCCTTGTCCCGGTGCTTCCTGCAAGTGGCAGGGGTCCTTGGAAGCCGTGATGTCCCATCTCATGCACGCCCACAAAAGCATTACCACCCTCCAGGGAGAAGACATCGTCTTTCTAGCCACAGACATTAACCTGCCGGGGGCTGTCGACTGGGTGATGATGCAGTCGTGCTTTGGCCATCACTTCATGCTGGTGCTGGAGAAACAAGAGAAGTACGAGGGCCACCAGCAGTTCTTCGCCATCGTGCTGCTCATTGGCACCCGCAAGCAAGCCGAGAACTTTGCCTACAGACTGGAGTTGAACGGGAACCGGCGGAGACTGACCTGGGAGGCCACGCCCCGGTCCATCCACGACGGGGTGGCCGCGGCCATCATGAACAGCGACTGCCTTGTTTTTGACACAGCCATAGCGCATCTGTTTGCAGATAATGGCAACCTTGGAATCAACGTGACCATTTCTACATGTTGTCCATGAGGCACCGAGGTTATTTGGGCTCAGTGCTCTGTGGTTAATAAAGGTTTTTATAGATGTTTTATTCACTGTGTCTTCACAAGTCAAGACCCACAGTTACCCCCCATGTTCTGTTTGAACAGCAGCTTCCCATCTGGCACTGGCCCAACAAAGTTCACTAAAAGGAACGAATGGGGTTGGCCTATTAGTCATTTGGAGTCGGTTCTGTGATCTGAAATCAACTTTCTTATGAAATTGTACTTACTTCCTGAACAGCACTTGACAGGTTGCTCAGGGCTCCTGTAGGCCAGTATGTTAGGAATTGGAGGCTCCTTCCTGTCTGACTCTCTCTACTGGTCTCACCAAGTTGACAAAAGCACAGTGACTGTCGATAGATTCCTAACCTTAACCTTTATCTTGTTTTTAGGGAGTAGGAATTGTTTTAGTCTTTCTCAAACTGGATGGCTGATGGCTAACCAATATGCACAGAGCCCCCCGTAGTACTCATCTTAAACATGCAGATTTGTGGAGCCTGTGCATTTAACAATCTCGTCAAGTGATTCTGTTCGACAATAAAGTTTGAGAATTACTGAGTTAAATTGTGGAAAGGGTCCAGATTTTAAAGGTGCTTTACGACTGCCCTCTACTGATACCGTTTGTCTTTCTACGGCTTCATTCCCTCCTCACCCCCGAGCTGCCGCTCCCAAATTAAAACCAGAACTGCAGATCCCCATGAGCACACTCCTGAGATTTGGTCACTGTCTTGTGTTTGGGGTGGATTGCCTAGGAAAGCGAATGGTATGGCCATTGATAGTTCTCACCTAATTAGGTTTTGCTCATCACTAGTACAGATGACCTGTTTACACGTGGCTTCCCTCAGAGGCCATCCTTGACTGTAGCTGGTGGGAAAGACTAGATCAGTAGAGTTGGAAAAGCTTTATAACCAGTGTCATATGCTTGCTATTTAAAGGTATGTGTTGGGTGGTTGTTGTTGTTTTTTTGCCACATTCACTTTAGTTTTTTAATAAATATTTTCCAAAAATGAATATTCGGCATTCTTTTCCCCGTTGAATAATGTTTGTTTAGTGGGTGCCTACCACGTGCAGGCACATGAAACTTCACAGCAACTTTGGGCTTGGAGCTATCGCTATTTCCACACGAAGAAACAGCCATTTGCCCAAGGTCATGATACAGGTCCATATTAGATAGAACTGGGGTCCAAACTCACTTCCTTGAACCATGGACTGCCATTGGTGTTGCAGGTCTCTCCCTTGGAGATGTTCTTTTAGGTGCCAGCACCGTGGAAGAAGAGTATTTCTCCTGCTTTACAGAATCAGAAGAAGAGGCTTGGCCAGGGCTGATGTCCAGAGTCCTGGGTTTGAGCCAGGGTGATCCACTCCCTCGGTCGTGACCCTGAAGTCTCCAAGGAATTCGGAATATTAGCCCCAAATGCCTGATGAGGACTAAAGACTGCCTGAACTTAACAGCCCAATGGCATTAGAGTAGCACCTCGTGGAAGGGATGGCTTTAGAGTTGTTTCGATTTTTTAGGTGAGATGTGGTATTGGGTTTTTATCCAGGGTAGAGTTCTGGCAGGCAAGGAAGGTTCTAGAAAGTTTCACCGTACACAGCATGGCCATAGACGTTTCTGCCACAAGTGTTTTTGCCACATTTTCACTGCATAACTAACTGGCCATTAGGCAATTTTGCCATAAGAGACAAAAATAACAAAAAATTAAAGCGGGACATTCATTAAAAAGGACATAATGAAACATGAAAAATAACAAAATTAAGGAGACTTCATTGTGGAATACAAAATAATTGAATACCCTTAAAATGTGTGTAGATTCATGGCAATACTGTGCAAATAACTGATTTTACTTGGTGGATTATACCTAAACGCTTGTCCCCAAGTCTTTCATTCATAGTATTATTAACACTTTTTGCTTGTTGATTAGTCTCCTCATTTGGCATTGTGCTTTTTCTTTCTTTTTTTTTTTTTTTTTGCTAAAATTTCTTCCTTTATTAAGAAATGTATCAGCTTCCCAATACTAGGATTACATGTTTGTAATGGAGCTCTGTGTTGTGTTCTGAAAGCCTTTGTGCTGTTGTCTGTTCTTGGCATATTGTCACATGTTCATCAACCGACCTTCCAAAGTTATATGGGAAATGTTAAAGAAATGCTAATGTTGTGATGCACTGTAAAGGAGCTTTGTCATCATCGTGATAGGCTATCACTTTCTAACATAGGATGTCATCTGGCTTTATGCTCATTTCACATTTCCTGTAAGTTTTATCACCATACTTTCTGTTAAGTCAATACATGTACTTGTTACGACTCACTATTTCATCTACTTGCCCTGTACGGACCATTATGAGGGCTAGCTAAGATTTATAGGAGAACTTTGTCAATGGAGAAATGAAATGAAACTGATAAGTAGTTTCAATACATTAACTGCCAGAGGCAGTTGATTCATCAATGGAGGAATGAAACCAGTTATTTGGGCTTTTATAGAAAAATTGCCTTCTGGACAATTAGTTACATGACAACAATGCTTGTGGCAAAGATGTTTACAGCAAAAATACCAGACACGCTTAAGGAATTGCTAAAGTAACTTCTCTTCTAGGCCATTCTTCCAATAAAGGTGAGAAACAGTGCCCTTAGCAAAAAGAAGGTGCTTACAACATGTTTGGTAAATGGATGAAAACTATAGTTCTTGTTACCAAGAAAATCACATTTACTACATGGGGGGATCTGTGGAGGCAAAACTAGGATCCAGGAGCAGGTGGACTTTGACTCTCAGAGCTGGAGCTGGTCCAGATTGGCTGTCCATTGTGTACATGATGCCCAGGCAATGTGTTTTGTGCATCAGCTTGACTAGCTTGTTTCACCACCACTCGTGTCCGTATCCAAGCCTTCTTGTGATGTGTGATGGGGAAAATCAGGACCAATTGGTCAACAAGGTACCAAAGGTAAAGAAAGTTACGTTCAAAAGCCCTGTGAAGACGGACATTGTGGAATCAAGTTCTTCCTAAAGCATAAAACGTTAGGTTTTCAGCCTTGGGAGGTAAAGTGATGGGTTAGCGGCCATAACGGAGCATTAGTGGCAACACTGATTCTAGAATTCAGATTTCCTGACTCCCAGTTCAAACATGTTTCCAAAACTTGACAAATTAAAGTTTTAGGCAACAAAACTCTGAACATCTACTTTCCAGAGCTACTTAGCTCCCTTGAATCTCTGTCACTGGAAATCTGTAAACTTAACTTTTACTCTCTTTTTTGAAAGTAAGCATTTTCTGCCCGTAAACAAAAATCCCCAGGTTATTCCCTGTTTTAAGAGGAAGTGAAAACAGCAAAAAAAGGTTATGTAAATTAAAGCGCCTTTTTATGTAGTTCCAGTTGCAAACGCAATTTACAACACAGTGGTAGTCATTTGTCAAAACTCATCACATGGTCCACTTCTGCACCATATAAAAAAAGAATCTCTTTCCCTTTCATGTCCTAGTTGTATATTCTAATTTGACAGAAAGCGGGCTGATCAAGCAAGATAGTAAATTCGGCCTGTGCCTTCCAATGCCTGAGCCATTCTGAAGAAAAAGAGATGCTCAAAATTCTTTGGGAGAAATGTTCATAGTTATTAATTCTGGGTGGCAAGAACCTGAGTGTATGTCATGTTTCTATTTCCGTTATTCTATACTTAAGTTTTTTTTAAGCCAACCGACCTTGGGATCAGAGGCTCTCAGCCTTTCCGTGAGCAGGATGAGGTCTTGGTTTCCCTGATTCCTTAACACCTAGGGGATTAAGAAGGTGATGTCCCCACAGTGAACTATCCGGTGCACATTGTCAGGAATTTGCGAGGATAGGCCACTGAGGCATCAACAATTGAGTTGGACCTAGAACTACCAACAGATTCAAACGAATGGCTAAGCGTCTCTGTCTTGTCAGCAGAATTATGCAACTTCTCTACCATATTGTCCAAGGACATTTTCCTTGTGCCTAACTTCAGGTTCTTGGGTGTTGCCAAGTGACAGCAGTGTGACCTTAGGTTGGTCCCACATTTGGGACCACATCTCTGGTCCCATATTTCCTAACCTGCAACGTTAGAAGGTTTGTTTTTTAAATGTTTCTACTCTATATCTACTAAATATACGATCATAGTAGTCTAGTAGAAATGTTTCTACTATCTCATTTCTGTGAGACAATTGAGCTATTTAGGGTGTGTAAATCATTCCAGCCAGGTTTTATATGAGGTGATTCTGGGATAATTGTGACCCAGCATGTGTCAATTGGTGTTAGCTGGTGACTCATGCTCCAGCTGCCTCTTGGATTCCCACAGTCTAGAGCCAGGTACGGTGCCTGGGGACAGAGACCTGTTTTGCTTTGTAGTTCTGGCTTGAGCATCCTGTGGCCTTGACCTTTCCTGACTCGCAGCCTGTGCTTGAAGTACGATTCTAATTTCACTGACCTATGCTGGCCTGAAAGAGAGGAAATCAAGAGTTCTTAAAGAATAGGAAATCCAACTGTCTGTATTGTTAAAGCTGCTTCAGCTACTAAGTTTGAAGCTTTACATTTTGTACTTGTGCATTCTTTTAATTTGTCCTGGAGTCCTCAAATGACAGGGCAAGGAAAAATGTTAGACCCTGTGATACCAATGCCTGCTATCACCACCGCTATTTTACAGAAGAAACAGAGAGAGAGAGAGAGGGAGGGAGGGAGGGAGGGAGGGGCCTACAAAGGGAAAGCCACAGAACCGGTTGGAATTTTTCATGACGACAATATGGTGTCTTCTACATTGAGCAAACGGGGAAAAATTATAAAACTATTAAACCTACAAGCCAACATTTTATGATAAAGCAAATGAAGGGAATTTGCTCCAAGTCTTTTAGAGAAAGAGAGAGAGACAAAGAGAGGGAGAGGGAGAATCCCAAGCTCATCGTGGAGCCTGTTGCAGGGTTAGCTCTCACAACCCTGGAATCATGACCTAAGCCGACATCAAGAGTCAGACGGGACGCTTGACTGACTGAGGCACCCAGGCGCCCCTGCTCCAAGTCTTGATCCCACCAACTTCTCCCAGGCTCCCCTGCCAGCACCCAGGCCTGGACACCTGTTAAGAGCTTCTAACTGCTTGTCCTCCCACTTGCCCCGGTCCAGTCCATTTTACACATACACATGGGCAATCAGAGGCTCTTTTTAAATGAGAGTTGGTTAGTGACACAAGCTCTTTAATATTTTCTTTCAGAGTGCCCTGTTCTTTTCCTTCATAGCACTTTCTACAGTTATAATTGTATATTTTGTTTGCTTAGTGTCTGCCTCCCCTCAACAAACTGTGAACCTTTTGTTCATCCTTGTATCCCTGGTACCTGGGCACATCATGAATATCTGATTGAATAAGTTACTACCAACATTAGTCTGATGACAGCATTGAAGAAAACACCTCAAGAGTTAACGTTGTCTGTTTTTATAGCAAAAATCACTGGGGGATTTGCCTCGGACAGGCAGGCAACAGAGATAGAGAGATAATCTAACAGTCCAGAGAAGGGAGGAAATAGTCTCTCTGTCCCAGTCATTCCCTAGGCAACGGCAGAAATGCTAGCCTGAAGGGCCTGTATCATAAAATTTCTTACGTCATAGTGTCACCTGACATTCATATCAAAGTGTTTGATGATCCTTGCAGAGGACACAGATGAGGATCCCTTTGACCTACAGGAACTGTGTTAGAAGATTAGATCAGCTTGCAAAGTTCACCAAGATAACAGCAGTTGCCATTTATTGGGCATCTATTTGTGCCAAGTGCTTCATCTAGGTTTAACCCATCAAATCCTCCCCATATCCCAAAGAGGATAAGAGTTTATTAGCCTCAATTTGAAGTTGAGGAAATTAAAGTTCAGGGAGACAAAGCAACTTGCTTAAGTTCACAGCTGGTGAGCAACGGAACCGGGATATGAGCAGGTTCTAGAGTCCATGACCCTTCACCATGTTACACGATGCACCCTTACTGATGTTTGGCTTTCACACATTTTGACCACCAAAAGCAATACTGCT